TCAGACCCATCGGCAATATGTCAACACTACCAGCAGTTGCATGCTCAGCTGCTCCCATGGCACCTGCGAAAATACGCCGCCAGTTGGAGATGGCGCGATTACGACCTGCCTTATGCGTACTGCACTCTTAAAGCTAAATGCTTCAGTTCTGATGGCACGCACTGTTGCACCAAGCCTTCACACTCCTGCTTCCGTAGAATCGTTTCGTGGCGGACCCACCCTGCAAAGGCTGTATACCGCGGCGCCAGCCGTGCGATTATGGGCATGATCAGTGCTTTAAGCGCTGGGTTTGAAACAAAGTCGCTTCTGACAGCCGTTCCTGACCTTCTTCGTGCAGTGGCCTCGCTGAGGCGGCTGTCGACAAACGAAGACTCTTGCTCGTGTATCAGGTGCAGCAAAGCAATGTCTTCAACGAGCATCTGCGTATGTGACGCTGCTCAAATGTACGAAGAATTGCCGTCTGCGCGTATTCGGCATAGTGTTGCTGGTCTGTTTGCTGAGGTGCAACGTCGATTTCCCGGAACGTCTGGTGTCGCCGTGCTTCGCACGAAACGTTTGCATACATGGTTGGTCACTGGAGACTTTAGGTATAGAGGCAGGGCCTTGGTTTGGTTGTGGTCAGACATTGCTGCAGTGATTGAGCTAGCTCTACGCCAGCCGATTGTGCGCTTGGGCACCTGCCTTTTTGAGCAAGTTACTGGTGCACCAATTGGAGGGCAGCTCTCTAAAGCGATTGCGTCAGCAGTGCTGGCATTTGACGAGTTGCGGTTTTGTCAACAGCCGCACCACAGCCTTCGGAACTCAAAGCTGATACCTGCACTCGCTGATGCCACCTGGTATTTGCAGAACTCAGTTGCTTGCAGCCGATATGTTGATGATCTTGCCATGGTGTCTCATGTGTTGTGTAAGTCGTGCTTGCTCCAGATCACACTGCTTGTCTATGCCAAGCCCATTTGCTTCGAACCAGCACCAAGTGATGCATATGGCACACCTTGGCTTGACATCTGGCTGTACAGTGAACAGCTAGAAGTCAAAGTACGCATTGATGGTGCTGAGCATGAGTGGCGAGCAAGTGCAGGCAGCTCCCTGCCCAAGAAGTTTCGTGTTAGACCTTGGTTGGGACACAATGCTTGTGACTTTGCCATGTTGACGTCGTATGTTGCCAGCAAGCTTGTCAGGTTGAAAGCGCTGCACTTGCCTGATAACCTGCTGGCATCTGCTGTCGCTTGTGAGCTGTGCATTTGGGCCCTGAGCGGCTACCCGTTGACTGTTATGAGAAAGTGTTGGACTTCCGTCCCACACTTTCCTAATGCTTCCAAGCATGCACATAAGTTTCTGTCCATCTGGCTTCATGAAGCGAACTTGCCTCACAGCATTAGGCCGACCTGGTTCAACTAATGGCGGGTTGTGCTTGGTCTTCTGGCCTAGGTGGGTTGTGCTTCTCCTTGGATGTCAGGGTTGTTCTAGGCTCGGGTTCGTTAGATACCCTCGCTTTCCTTGCTGCATTTTTTTGCCTTTTCAGCTGTAGGGTAGGTAGCTCTAGACACTGTAGTGGCTCTTGGCTGCTTCGCTGCCGAGTTTGCTGATGAAGGGGCGTGGCAAGTTTGATGATCGCTCGTGGTCCAGCTCCTCGAGCTACGGTGGATGGAAAGGGAAAGGCTATGTGAATAAGCCACAATAGGCTTCCCTTGCACAAAGAAGATCCTTTTGTGCTCGCGCCGTATACCTTCAGCTTCAGCTCTATCCAAGGGCCCTCGAGAGGAAAAGCCGCAGAGAGAGAAGGCAGAGCTTTCTGTCAAAAGACTCATGCAGTCATGCTTCTCAGCAAAATGCTTCAAGCTACCCTGCAGAGTTTACACGCCCTCAAAGCGAGGCCTGAGAACGTGCGCTCTCGAAATGCTGAACCCCTCAGGACTTGTAGGTGCGCCCGCTGGTGGAGGTTGCCTCTTCAGCCTCACGCTTCTGCTTGAGCTCACTGATGTAGTCGTACATGCTGAACCCGATGGCGGACAGGAAGGCCACAAAGTCCGACACCTTGTGCGCCTTCGGCGGCTCACGGCCGAACTTGTTGGTGCACCAGATGACGTACTCCAATGTGTCCAAGTGATTGCGAGCACGCTGGGCCAGCTCATGATAGCTCAGCCGTTCACTCTTGAACTTGGGGGCCTCGTAGATGGTCCGGCTCCATTGAGCCAAGCTGGCGACGCCCTCCGGGAGAGGTTTGTCGTTGACCGGGTTGGCCGGTATGATGACGACCACTTCACGAGGAGCATTGACAGGCATCGGGCGAGGTGGTCCACGACGAGGCTCAGAAGGATCCACTGGGCTTCCCTCCCAAGACGGAGACGCCAGCGGGTCCCAGGACTCGGTATCGTCGTCACTGACGGATGAGCGCCCTCCAGAGTAGCCTCGCTTGGGCGAAGTGCCAAGCTCCATCCACTCATTGCTGGGCCCATCGGATCCGAGGACGTTGCGTCCCCAGGTGTTCATCTCGTTCAAGGCGTCCTGGATGGCACGCTTGCGCTTGGAGTTCTCCGGGATGCGCACCAGGGTCATGATGTCGGAGATCTGATTGTTCGTGATGGCGCGGCGGAGGAGGTAGGCCAAGTGCTCGCGGTCCTGGCGGCCCAACTCGCTCATGTCGTCGGTCTTGCTATTGCGGGGCATGATCGCAAGGACGGCGCAGGCTGATAGATGCACGGCACAGGCTACTCTAGCACAAGTTGCTCTGAACCCCACGAGCAACAGTACAGGTTATCATCCCAACGGAGGTAGTAAGCTCGGGGGTGTACAGGTTATGAGCTCAACGTCTGACCGTCGAAGGGACACGGTGACTTGAATCAATTTACTTCTAGACCAAACAACAGAAAAAAAAACTCTTACGAGACACAGCCTTTTGCAAATCTCGATTCCCGGCAGTGGACGTCCACCGCGGACTGCTGACAGTCTACCCTAGTTGACCCTCGGTGGAGGTCCTAGTCACCTTTCGAGTCCGGTTTAGCATCGGCCTTTTCCTTTCGGCCAGATTGGGTGCAGGGCCTGATGCGATACGAACACGTAGAAAGTAGCTTGAAAAGGATTTCGGACGAGCCTTTCAGCTTGGTCAGTGGATCAGCTACCATCTGCAGATTATTAGTCCAGAACGGCACAATGTTTCTTTCCTGCAAGCTGGCACGTGCGATGGCATAGTCGATAGCCAGGCGCTTCTCGATTGCAAGCGCCGTTGAGCAGGCAGAACGAGTTAAGGCATCGTACAAGGACTTACTGTCTATAACCAAACCGGATTGAGCTTCAGGGGTCCAAGTCCTAAACTCTCGGGGTGACATGTCCTCTAGGCATTCCTGAATGAAGGCCTGCGCAAACTCAATGCAGTCGAGACCATTCTGGCATGACAAGGTCTCAGCGGCAGTAGAGCTCCTAACAATTCTCCTGAGTTTCTTGGAAGCCCATTCGATGATCCAGCATTTGCCCTCCTCCTGACGCAAGACCTTGCTCTCGCAGAGGCACAAAATGAGTCCTCCCTGAGACTCGCCACTTTCTCGAACTCCCCAGCCCGCATCGGTAATCACCAGCAATCTCCAGTCAGTGGCGGGAACGCTAGGGAACTTTAAGGTAACCTTGTGATGCTTCATTTCACGAAGGGCCTTGTTGTACATGGTGAGGTGGCGATACTGGGCCTTATCCTGAACACCTTGCAGATAGGAGGAAAGAAAAGCCTGATCGGGCCTGCTGTGGCTCGCGACCCAAGCCAGCTGTCCACAGCACGCTCTCATCACTTTGGCGTCAGGCAAGTCTTCAGTAGACTTCCCCGGAACTGGAACGAAATCCATCTTCTCTATGTATGACTCCTGACTAAGCTCAATGCTAGAATCTGGATGTTGTCTGATCTCAGCTCCAGTGTACTTGATGGTTTTGGTTCTGAACTCTCCAAAGGGCAAGGTTTTTCGCAGCTTCTCTAGAACCCGATCCATGGCTACAGTACCACCTCCAAGCAGGTCATCTACATGCACCCCGCAGATACCTACTAGCTTGTTGTCTGCACCTCGCAGCAGGAACACACATGGATCGAGGGCACTAACCTTCAGGCCTAGCGCCTTTAACTCTCTGGTTAATCTAAGAAACCATGCTCTTGGAGCCTCAGCGAGGCCGTATGCGGCCTTTTCAAGGCGAAGCAGGTCGTCATGACCAAGCCCCATCAGCTTCCGGACTTCCGGCGGCGGTCGGAAGTGGATGTTACGGCATGATGCATCTCCGGACAGAAACGCAGTCTTGATGTCTGCACTCCAGAGCGTCCACCCGAAGGCAGCACACAAACTCAGGATGATGTGCTTGCTCTCCTTCCGAAGAGTGGGACTATCAGTCGCGATCTTTCCTAAGTCCGGATCCTGATACCCAACTAGCACCAGTCTTGCCTTAGGGACAACTTTCTTATCATCGGGGTCCGCGCTCGTTTTCCAGGTGAGAACCCAGCGGCTTCCTATGATCCTGGATCGGTCTATCCCTTTTGCCTTGACTATCGAAGTGACCTTGTTTTCCAACCAAGATTGCCATTCTTTAGACATTGCATGACGAAACTTTTCCTGATCCTCAGGCCCAAGCTTGCGGAAGTTAACCTCAACCCTACGCTTGTTGGCAGGCTTAGTTTTTACCTCGGCACATTCCGTCAGGGCTGTCCACAGGCATGAAAGATCTTCTTGCACGTCATCCTTGAAGATGTCAAAAGAAACTTCGCAGCACATTGCCTCTGGCGGAGGAACGCCGGAGGCTTCGGACTCAGTCGGAAAAGGGTGTATTGGCTCGCCCTCTTGATCTTGCCCGCCCTCCAGGTTTTCTGGATCAAGCGATGGGGAGTACATGCTGGAATCATCATCCGGGAGAGGCACATCTACAGCTTGAGGGGGAGGGGCTTCTGGCTCATCAAGTCGGCGGCTCTTCAGACGCTCGCCCTCTTGGGGCAAATCGGCGGGACGGGTTGCCGGCACGGGGCGGGGAGACGATGGCCCCAACTCAATTTGTGATTCCTGAAGATCCGCTGCACGTCCCTCCCAGTAGCCGGGACTATGAGTGACACGACGCCTTGTGGTGGGGGCAGGGTTCTCGGACAGCTCGGGCGCATCATGCACAGGTGATGGCAACAGCTCGAAATCTTCATCAGTAGGCGGCTGAGCTGTGAGGTCCACAAAGTGGCCCCCTGGTCCCATATAGCGACGGGGCACTTCAAGCTCCGGGGCTAGCACCCCGGTGTGGTATTCCTGTGCCAATTGTCGAAACATTTGCTCATCCTCAACCACAGGTCGGAGGCATTCTGGGGAACACTTGTACATCAGACCATTAATGACTACCCAGATGACGCGAGGCACAGGGGAATCATGGCGGTAGCCTTCAGTGCCTACGACCTTGCCTGGGCCATGCCAGACACCGTGGCGTGTCGAAAGAAGGCCACGAGCACCGCGACGGAACACATACACGGACTGACCTACCACATAAGGACCGCGAAGGGGGCGGTTCCTGCCCTGAATGGCTTTACGCCAGGTTTCGTGTGCGTGGGCTTCAATGAACGCATGGGCCGCTAGCTGTCGACAGCGCATCTTGGCATGGAAGTCTGGCTCATTCAGGACGGCATCCTGTGTGGCTAGATTGTCTCGTTCAGTCATATCGGCAAGACTCGCCGGAACTCTAGGCTCTCGTCCTAAGAACCACTGCGCACTAGAAAAACCGTGCTTACGGAGATGCTCATTGCGAGTTGTTGCACATGTCTCGATGATTTCAGCGGCCGGCCTGTTAGCTGTGCGCCAGACTCGCTTAGCCATGTTACGCAAGATGCGTTGCGCAATCTCCACTCGGCCGATCTGCCAATGGGACTCCGTTGCAGCACTCAGGAGGGTGATGGAGTTATGCCGAAGGTAGTCTTGAAAGTCTCCGGATATCCATCTCTGATCAGGATCAACATAAACCACACGGGGGGGTCCATACGGCCTACACCACAGTTGATGAAAAGCTCTGGCGACACTACGGGGTCCCGGTGGCAACACCACTTGCTGTGCAAAGTCGGTGGCATAGTCGACGGCCGTGAGCACATTGAATTTTGTCTCTACCACCCCGTTAGGAGAATCCTTCTTTAGCTCAACCTGGACTATGTCTAACCCGACTATGTGGTTTGGCGTCTCGGTGTGGCTCAAGGCAGCCACTCGATGTGACGGAGGAACTTGCAGTTCCTCACACACAGCACACTTGAATTCCTTGATCGCTTGAATGACTTCGGCAGAAGCCTTGGCTCTGTGGGCCAATCTGAGCATTTGCTCACTGGAGGCATGACCGGTATTTACGTGGAGCTTCTGAACCATTGCACGATACTTACAGCGTTCCCGGGCTGAAGGTACTCTTACATCCTGAAGGACTGGCTGGGAACCTGCTACGGCATGTTCACTATCGGGAACCCCAAGTAAATCTTCTGCCTCTGAATCAGCCTCTGAATCCGTGTTCAAGAAAACATCTGGTTGGCTGTCATTATCTTCCCTGTTTGCCTGCTGGGACATGAGATCCCTCTGATGCCAAGCTGACACAACTCTCTTACAGAACCCGAGAGGATAGCTCTCTGCCCAAGAAGTCAAAGGACGACCTCTGTACTGGCCTTCAAGGTGTGCATGGCCAGAGTGACCCGGACATTGGCATTCATGTAGGCTCTGGGCAAGTGTAGGGTCCGTGGTGACTACCCGGGTTGGCTTGAGGATATGCTGCTTGGTTTGAGGATGTCGCAGGCCTACAGAACACATGTGGAAGTCAGCTTCAAATGCAGAGCCTAGATCGATCAGGCTCCAGGCATGAGACCCGACAGGATTCTCCCCATGTGCATGACCGCCAATCATAGTCTGCAGTTGCCACACTTGGCTGAACAATCTCAAAAAGACTTTCTCACGACTTCTACGGGACCTGATTCTGGACGCGCATTCACCCCCTTTTGAGAGATTAAGGCGTGACCATCCCGACCAACATGCACACGGCCAAGAAACCCAGACATCACGGGGCCTAGTCATTGCAATCAGCTGAAGAAGGAGTCTTCTGTCACGGGCCCGGAGAAGGTCCTGGCCCCAGTCCAGTCCGATGCGAATACTGGGACCGCTGCGAAGCCTCTCGGATTGGCGGGAGAGATTAGCCTTACCTGCAAAAACCTCTATCAGTGCAACCCTAGTTTGGGATTGATCTAGGACGGCTGCCTGGCTCCCAAGCCAGTCCCTGAGTTCGTCTCGGGCTTCCGCAGGATCACTGTGTGCGGCAGACAGCAGCATCTGAAAAGGTGTTCTACGTACAGCCTCTACCTGGTGACAGATCAAGGACTTAGTTCTGCCATCTAGCGGGGAGACCTCAAGGGAAACCCAATCAGCCTCTTCATAAAGAGTGGTCAGGTCTAGGGAAGCTTGCTGGCTTTCGGGCTGTCTACCTTCCTCAGTGACCTCCTTGAAACCCTCTGCCGCGCAGCAGTCACAGGCAGGCATGCACGGAGCAGGAGGGCGCTCAGGGCGCTCAGTTGTCTCATCCTCCGGGCCTGCATCATGGCTTGGTTGACAGTCTAGCACCTCTATGTCCCCTTTAGCTCCTTCAGGCTCACTAGCATTTTCTACCAGACCGGCTGACACCGTAGGAGGCTCGGCAGGGGCCTCCTTCACTGGCTTGCGGCGAAAGGCAAAGATGCAGGTATCCCGGCATTCATACGCTCGGCGGCGCTTGCCCGCAGGCCGTTCCTCCCAAGCATCAACACTCACCACACCCCCGGAATCCAGCCGGGCGACTGCTCGGTACATGGTGGATGTGTGACTCTGCTGAGGAATGCGTTCGAATTTGGGCTTGTATGCACAAAACGCACTGTCAATCTTACACCCGAAAATGTTCCTAAGGTGTTCTTGCATCTCCTTACTATCTACTTGACAGTACCGGGTGTGTTTCACTATGGTCTGGAAGCTACGCTTAGGAGGATCCCGAGGCGGGGTACGAGTAGGAAGGATCTGTTCATAGGTGGTTTCGGGGCCACTTGGCTTCCCAGGTGGCCTGTCGTCCTCATCATTGTCCTCATCCACCTCGAGGGCCTCGGGCTGGTCCTTGTGCACCTGGAACGCACCGGACTCTGGATCTGGAATCAGAGGTAGTAGAAGATGTCCGTTGGCAGCCTGTGCGAGAGGCTGCCCTCTCATTCCATGTTTCTCACTGGTCAAGGTCATTGCACCCAGGTCCAGTGTTGCTTGCATTCCTTCGAGGACTTTCCGGGAAAGGAGGAACGGTGTATCTCCAGGAATGACGTAGGTCGTCACAGTTCCCCACAACGAGCCCAGACGAATGGTCCAGCGAAGCCCCTTGCTTGACGTGGTTCTTGCGCCATTGAACCCTCGCAGCTGCACTGGAGGTAAGTCCAATGACTCGGGCCCTTGGATACCACGTGTAGCCAGGAACGCCGCAAGCTTCTGCGCTGATCTCTCTCCGATCACGGACGAAGTGCACCCCGTATCGATGACGGCGTGCCCCTGGGGAATAGAAGCCAGAAAAACCTCGAGCTCCTCAGGCACTTCATTCTCTTCCGTCGTGATCATGTAGGAAAACTCAGTGATCACCGCGCTCTGGATGAGGTTCACATCTTCCTTGCGGGCGCGGCCGGCGCCTTTTCGCTTGTCCTCGCCCCGACCCTTTCGGTCATACCGGAAGGTCGGCTGCACCACGGCCGCCGGCTGAGAGCCCGCGGCGCCTTCTCCTGGAGCCAGAGCCACCACTGGCATGTAAGGCTGGCGGGTCTTCTTGATCTCCCGCAGCCGTTTGCGTTGCTCTTTGTAGTTCTTGTAGTGCTTCTTGACGTTGTCCTTAGCCTTCTTTTGCATCTCGTAGGCCTCGATCATCTGTTCCTGAGCCTCTTCATCGTCCGTATCCAACTCTGCCTCGAAGGCCTCGGCGTCGGAGGGGGGCAACGACGGCTCCGAGAGTGAAGTACTGTCCGCAGCAACCTCGAAGATAGTGTCCTTGCGGACGCCTCGGTGGCCAGGCCTGCCATCGCGCCCGGGGTCCGTTCGGCGATCCTCGAAATCACTCGCCCGGATGATCCGCTCCACATCTTCGAACTTGGAGCTGCCACCGGTCGCCCGAACAACCAGGGACCGCTGCTCCCTGGACAAGCCGTACTTCCGCATGAAGAGATGGCCAAGCACAACTGCCGGGAAAACCGGCCGCAGCTTCAGATGTCCTTGCTCTAGGAGCTCAAGGTCTTCCATCATCTTCCGCTGCGCCTTCTCCTCGTCCGCCCTGTGGGTGCCACGGCTTCCAGCCGAGTGTCCGCCGCTTGACGGTGGACCCTTCGACTTCTTCGGCGATCTCTCCGAGACAAAGCTGCCCACTGTCTTGTGCTGTCTTGCAGTCGGCTCTGGCACCTTGTCCGCGGATGCCGTAGACTTTTCTACGGCGGCTGCTGCAGCCGACGCTTGTTGAACATCTTCCGCTGTAAATCCCTTCGCATCCATGCTGGAGATGTCCGACTCTGAGCTGCTCGAGGAGGAAGAAGGCTCATGAGCTCCCTTCTGCCGGCGACGTCGCCGGCGCTTCGGCTCATGCTTCTGAGCCGCCTTGTCTGCGGCAATCAGCGTCTCCAAGCGGCTGAGTGCCGCTCGGAACCTGGAAATGAAGGCCGTCGGTCCTTCATTCGGCTTGCGCTTGAGGTGGAACAAGAACTCATCGACGCTCTCGTTGAGTTCCGTTTCCGGCAGGAAACGGTAGTGTGAGTCCAAGGCAGACAACACCTTCAGCCAGCCGTCGCTGGCCCTGAGTTCTGACACACTCAAGTGCTCCGTTGCTCGCCAAGCCTCTCCTGACAGTCTCGTCAAGATCTTCGGTCCTGCCAACTTGATCTGCTTTCCTTCAAGGCTGGCGACGCTCAGAAGTATCTTCCGCCGGAATTGGCGATACTCCGAAGGAATCCCAGAAAAGGATAGATCACGGAGGAAGGAGTCCTCCTTACTGCCTGCCATCGTAATAGCAGCGCACCCAATCTTCAGAAAATCCAAAGACGCACGTCCCTGAGCCCTGCGGGCTCCGCTACCATGAATAAGCCACAATAGGCTTCCCTTGCACAAAGAAGATCCTTTTGTGCTCGCGCCGTATACCTTCAGCTTCAGCTCTATCCAAGGGCCCTCGAGAGGAAAAGCCGCAGAGAGAGAAGGCAGAGCTTTCTGTCAAAAGACTCATGCAGTCATGCTTCTCAGCAAAATGCTTCAAGCTACCCTGCAGAGTTTACACTATGGTAAAGGCAAGCGACCCTACTACAGGCCTGCCCCATACCAGGGCAAGGGGCAAGCGCAATCCCTAGGGGATACTGTTGCAAACTCGTTCCAGCGTGCCATGGGGGCAACAGTGGAGCACATGATCAGTGAGGGCTTTTCTGTCTTGGCAAATAGACTTTGCAGCCCCGGTGTAGCCGAACTTGTGCCTCAACAGCCAAAGCCTACGGAGACCACACCACCTGCACGGGCAGGGAGTGCTCTTGCAAAGGCAGTCGTCAGCATCTTTGGCAAAGGTACTGGTTCAGACACATCTGCAGAGCCTCAAGTGCCTGATCCTGTATGTCCACACAAGTCGTCAGGGCTCCAGGAGAAGGACCGTGTGCTTCAACAAGCTCTAGAGCAGCAAACGAAGACGCTTGCTTTGGTGACCGAACTTGCCCAGACTAGTTGCCGTGCTGATGGAGAGGCTCATGAGCCATCGATGCCGGTTGACCTGGAGGCAGACGCCTCGCAGGCAGCACAGATGAAAGCCATGCAAGCCCAACTCGATCAGATCACCAAGCTTCTCAACCACAACGAGGGCAAGTTTACCAAGCCTTCTCCAAACCCCAGTGCCGCTACTAAGCAGCTGGACCTTTCGACCTTCTTCTCGCGACCAGGGCGGGGCAGCAACTGACTATTTTCAGACGCGAGCCCCACCTTGTCAGCAGTTTTCACTGCTGTCGGTGAGGGTCTGATTGCTGCAGTCTTCACGGCAGTCAAGTGGGTTTGTCAACTGCTTCTATTCGGACTGCTCCTACAATGGCTATGGGGAACATACGGGCATCTTGTTGTCCACACGCTGTTGTCTGCGAGCTTCTATGGGATACGAAGCTGGGTAGTGACTGAATCCACCAATGCCTTGATGAAAGCTCTTATGAGCTACACAGTTTCAGACGCTGGGCCCACATGAGTGTGTTCTTGAGCGCATTCCTGTATGGTAGTTCCAAATTCAATCAACACCGTGACACTTTGCAGACCTTTTGATCAAGCTGCTTCGAAAGAAGTTCGCACAGTAGCCCAATCC